TTCTTTTTTTCCTTTTTTTTATGTCCAAGGACGGTGGCATGAGAAATGCCCCAAGGATTCTGAATGAACTCAGAAAATGGATAAAATGAGAGCAAAAGGCAGCCAAATCCTGAGTTCTAGGATGCAAGAACTTCACATAAAGATAATGTAGATACATGGCTCCCAATAATCTCCAATAATCTCTAATACTCTCCCTCCCTCTTTTTTAACATAATTAGTAGGAGATCATTGAAGTCTGATCTCTGTTCTTAGATCATCAATTACCCTGGGAAGATATAAAACATGTATGCAGATAGGTGACCAGACTTTCCGAAACCTTAATGTAGCAAACGTATGAATAGAATCCTTCCGTCCTTATTCCCTAAAAAGTTTCCTGACATTTTGAACATTCCAGGTTTGCTCCCACATTGAACCTCAGAGTTTAAAAATGTTAAGGATGTGAATGCTTAGATCTTTTTGTCAAAAATGAAAAATCATTGACACTGCCTCCACAGAACTATGATAGTAATTTGACCTAATCAAGAAAATAACAGCGATGATAATCTCATTATTTCTCAGTAATCTATTCCTTGATTTCTATATTTCACTACAATTTGGTCCATTTTACTAAAAATTGTCTTTCAAAAAGGCCTCAGATTAGAGCTTGCTTTCAAGTTAAGGTAGATCTATATAAAATGAAAGATTTTATGTCTGTAAAATAACACAAATATAAAATCTCACAAAAAAAAAACCTAGACTTTTTTCTTTTGAGGCAGTTTATTTTAAGTACAGTACAAGAACTGGATTAGCTCCTCCCACCCTCCCCAGGGGAATATTTGTAGCATAAGGATAAAGGTGTCAGGAAAGAGGAATAATGTATGTTCAGGTTCACACTCGTACCAAGAAATCAAGTATTGGGGATTAATCCAAAGAAGGTGCCATGATGTTGGCAATTATTAAAAAAAAAAAAAAAGCCAAAGAGGAAGGTAAAAGAAAGCAAAAGAAGGCAAGAGAAGAGAGGGATGAGGAGGCTCACTAGGGACATACCACAGGCACAGAAGAAAAGAAGAGGAATGGCTTTCTGCAAAATAAACAAGCAAATCTTTATCCTTGTAAAACCAGAAAAGCTACAGTTCTAGATGAAGCTTCACTTGTGGTTTCTAGAAAACTACTTGTCAGTTTTCTTCCCTCTACAAGAGAAGTCACATGCGCACATAGGTGTGTGCACATATGCACACACACTCGCACTTGTACACACACATACACATGTGTGCACACACACACATACACACACACATCACGTTATCTTTGGACGATGTCCAGAGCAGCATAAATGGCACTAGCATAATTTATTACTACAAACCCACTTATTTATAAGTGAATTTTCTTTTATTTTTTTATTTTTTTTATTTTTTTATTTTTTTTATTTATTTTTTTTATGATAGTCACACAGAGAGAGAGAGAGAGGCAAAGACACAGGCAGAGGGAGAAGCAGGCTCCATGCACCGGGGGTGCCCGACGTGGGATTCGATCCCAGATCTCCAGGATCGCGCCCTGGGCCAAAGGCAGGCGCCAAACTGCTGTGCTACCCAGGGATCCCTATAAGTGAATTTTCATATCAGACTTATCATCATAGGGATTCATTGTCAATGGGTTCAGAAGCAGATATATATATATATTTTTTTTTTTAATGGCAAAAGACTGCAGTTAATTTTCATTTCCTTCTTATGCTTGAGTACCTATCCTTCACAGGCAAGACACAAGCAGTCAAAAAACCTATCACTACACAAACACTAAAATATATTATGAACTAGGTAAAACAAGTAAAACAAGCATTGAAAATTCTGTGTATTAAACATGTATAGAACCTACTTTAACTAAAACACTGGCATAAACAAGGAATTTGTGCATAGAAGGGCATACAATGGCTAAAATTAAGGGAGAATCAATATTTCACTGTTCCTCCCTGCCCTCCAAAAACAAAACAAAACAAAACCCAAAATACGTATTAGCGAGTTCCATAGACTTAAGATATTTTCACTGATATATATGCAATATTATTCTAAAGGAATAGAGTACTAATCACGTGTCAGGCATTGTGCTAAGTGTTTTACATGTACCCACTCAACCACTCACAAAATAACTCTAAGAAAAAGCTTCTACTATTGTTTCCATTTTATAGATAAGGAAACCGAATCAAAGAGAAACTAAATATTTTGCTCAGTGTAACCTAGCGACTAGGCACCATAGCTGAAATTTAAACTCCAGCATTCTAAGACCAGGCCAACTCACAACTCTAATTTGTGGTCACATACGTAGATCCAATGAAAATGTGAACTCCACCCACCAGAGAAAAATAGGAGGACCTACAGGGAAATTTCCAGTCTGCAAACACTAGAGGATACTGCTGGGGTATCCATCCTACCCCTAATTTCCCTGCTTCCTGAACAAGGCAGCTAGGTGGTCATCAATATATCTGATACTTTCTAATGAAATTAGTTTAGAAACTTAAACTTCCATGATTAAACATAATTTTTCTATGGCCCCGTGAACACAAAGGAGTTCATGAAATCCAAGTCCAGAAATAGAAGCTTTGGAAAGCTACTTAAATTTTTATTCTAATTATATATAGATATAGGTATCTATATGTAGCTATATCCTTAATTCTGAGATTATAAACGGCAAATTGATGTATGAATAGGAGACCCCCCCATGCCACTCTGTGCTGAGAGATGACCTTCACAGTTTCATTTCCTGTGGATACAAGAGTGTGTGGTTTGCTTGAGCTCATGGCTGGTAGGGACCTTAAAGGTCATCTTGCCTTATGACTACAGCAAAAACTTGGAAGCAGAAAGGTCAGCCCCAATATCTTGCCATTTTCTTTTTGACAGTTGGAGACAAAGTGAGAATCAAAAAGAAATCAGTGTTTGTGACCAAAGACAGAGAAGCCAGACCACTCATAAAGTTATATTCACTTTCATGCTGGCAGCAAGAAATAAATACTTGAGTTTAATCAAAAGCATAGACATTTGTTGTATTTTAAGGCAATACAAAATTTGAAAGAAGATTGTGTTCTTAAAGAGAAACATAATTGAAACATATTTTCAAGGTAAGATCTGTGACTGCCCCTCTACCCAAAATAAGGGAGAGAGTTTCAAATCCCCTCCTGGTTGTATTTTCTAGGTGAGCCACATTTGGACACTTGCTTTGGTAGTTTTAGTGCAAAATAAAGAGAAATGTCTGAAATCAAATGTTGAGAGTTCAAATAAAACATTGCAATTTCTTAACATATATTTATAGGAAAAGAATATACAGAAAGCTTTTTATAGTGTTTTAATAAAAATTAATTAATCTAGGTGTTGGAGATTTTAAGTGAAAGCAGTTGAGGACTGAGTTCAAATGCAAGATCTTCCTCTTATGAACCACATTTCCTGGGCAAATTACTTAATATCTCCAATAATAAATTTCCCCATCTACATAATGGGCATAATAATTTCTACCTTATAAGATTGCTGTGAGATTTGTGTGTACATATAAAATCTTTGGCACTCCTTCCTTCTCTCCCTCTCTTCCTTCCATTTTAATGGTCTTCCTGAAATTAAAAATGTCCTGCAGAAAAAATAAATAAATAACCTACCACTGAAATAAATATCTGAGCAAAATTTGCAAAACCCTCGTGCAACACCATCTACCACAACGGCACTATAAAATATTCAGTTCATCTTAGTAGCAACACATAAATTTCACATCACATAATGCTACAAAAAAAAACATTAAATTTCATTTGTGACACACTTACTATAACATTTTTTGGAATTGTAATTCATAGAAAACATTTCTGAAGTTTTACTTTGTGTGGCATGATTCCCCTCTCAATTCACTGAAGCCAAAACTTACTATTTGAAAGAAAATTAACATGCATGACATGAATTTTCAGCACTATAAGAAAATGGAAATAAAAATTCTATAAACACTTATGTGTAAAAGAGCCAAAAAGTCATATGAAAACTACTACTTGTTTTACAAGTACATGTCTGATAGGCCAGTAATTTACATCTAGGATCTAAATTTGTCCAGTTTTCAAATCAAGTAGAAAAAAATATTGTTTATTTAGGGGCTCTTGGGTAGCTCAGTCAGTTAAGCATCCAACTCTTGGTTTCAGCTCAGGTCCATGATCTCAGGGTTGTGAGATCGAGCCCCGCATCCCACTCCATGCTCAGCGTGGAGTCTACTGGAGATTATCTCCCTCTCCCTCTCCCTTTGCTCCTCCTCCTGTGCATGCTTCCTCTCTCTTTCCCTCTCTCTCTCTCTTTCTCTCTCTCTCTCTCTCTCTCTCATTCTCTCAAATAAATAAGTAAATGAAACTTTTAAAAAAATTGCTCATTTAAACTACACCAACTCTTCTAAAGAACAAAAATGTAGTAATAAATTTTCAAAGGTACATGTTGCATGTTAATATGCAAGGACCACAGGAGAGATTTCATTCTTCGCACACATGGAACACCAATTTCTTCCTATCGGCACTTACAACTTGAAGAAATCATCTGGTGGCATATTGTCGTTTGACTTTTAACATATCCATATTGCGAGTTAATCACAAAGTAGTCACACACTTTACCAAAGGCTTTGGGGTTTGGAGGATATTTTAAGGGTGATCTCATCAAAAACAATACTACTTTATAGAGATATCTCTAAGCAGGAATTTGTCACTTAAAGATCTTATCTTGGCTGGAAGAAATAACAGAAAATTATGTTTTATTGACAGCATTTATATACTGTGCATGTGAATCCATACAGTGTAATTGTACTAGATCTGTACGTATATATGCCATCTGCACATGTGTGATGTTCCATAATCATTGCTCCATTTTCTCCTTGTCTTATGCCATCATCTTTGCTGTGCAGTTCAGTACCATATTATTTTCATTTCAACCACAGCTGCATCATTGCTGCTGCCAGATCTCTGTTTTTTGGAGAAAATATACAATTTAAAATTGTTTTTTTTTCTTTTTTTTTATCAGAAAGGAAAGTCATCAAGAATTAGATTTTATTTTAGGAACAAAGTAAGGTTTCATGGGAGAAAAAAACAAAGCCTTGGTGTAGAGAAGGTTTGTTCATTTTCTATAGCATTACTGAAGTGTCCGTATGCCTTGATAAACCTATCAATGTTTGGATCATCTCAATGGGGGAAATGATTTAACTTAACTCTATTTTGGTGTCTCAGCAAAGGTAAGTTGCCTATTTCGAGAGCCTAACTGGGTAGTTTTATACTATTGCATCTGTGAATGAAACCCCAAAGTTGACCCAGCTAGCTTGCTGCCTCCGTTTCCCCAAATAGAAAAGGCGGATGGCCAGTGGGTGGAGGAGGAGGTGTGGGAACTGGCCGGGAATTTACTCTGTGACAGAGTTGCCTTAGACCAATCTCTTGTATTCATAAAAACCTAGGTGAGAGACAGATCAGTGGAGGAGGGAGCTAGTTTGGTTAACCTGATGCTCTATTATTTCATGTTCTCTAGTGTCTCTCTTTCAATGCCATCATGGAAGAACTGGGAATCTCACTCAAAAATCAGAAAAAGCTAAAGAAAAAGTCAAGAACTAAGGGGAAATCTCCCTTCACAAGTATCCTTACTTGTCATCAGAGACGAACTCAGAGGAAAGAGACTGTGGCCTGATCCAAAAAACACCCGCAGGCAACTTTCAGGAAGAAAAATGATATGTTCACTACAGGTTTTGAGAGAAAGTATTCCTGACAAGTGTGTGATGTGTTTCCATGTATCTATATACATAACTCTGGTTATGTATACAGATATAAGAAATACAAAAATTTAAGAAGCTCACATAGATAGTGCTTGGGAAGTGGCACTGGTTCTTTTGAAATGAATTTGTATGCTCACTTATTTTGCCTTTTCTCTCTTCTCGATAAATTGCTGTGTGTGCTTTCTAAATAATAATAAAACAACAGGGTTTTTTTTTTCCAGAACAAGTTTAAGTGTCGGTTTGTTCCCCTTTACTTGGCTCCCACTCACAATGTTTGGTTGCCAACTGTCATTTGTTGTCAGTTTGCTATTTTGATGACTCTTCTTACCTGTTCAGACAGACAGAATCATTTCTGGCTAAGTTAAAAGAAATACTTTTAATTCATACAAATACCTAGCTATTATAGTAAAGTAACACTATTCATCTTTGTGCTTTAAAAACTAATTTCATAAATACTTTAAAATAGCACTTGGAACATCGATGAGTGTGAGATAAAAGGATTCTAAAAAAGGAGGAGGGGTCCATTTAAAAATAAGTGTCTACCACATTCTAGGGACCATTCTAAGCTCTGGGAATACTGTGGCGAGGAAGACAGATACAGTATCTGCCCTCACACAGTTTATAGTTAAACAAAAAAGAAAAACATTCTATTATTCCAAGAGGGTTTAGTACTTCCTCAGTGGAAGCCAGAAGCTGAAGGAACATGCAGAAGTATTCAAGGAAGTCTTTCTGAAGGAAGTATAGCTCAACTAGAATGACAAGTTAATCAAGTGAAGGGAGGGACCTAAGATGGAGAGGCAAGATTTCCTGGCTGAGGAAACAGCATATCTGAAGGCCTGAGAGAAGACCCAATGGGGCCAGAATGGTGAAGGGAAAGGAGTTTGATGTGGCTAAAATGCAAGGGGATGCAATGGGCTTGTCAGGTAACAATCATGGCTGAATGTCAAGAAAAGATTGAAGGCAAGAAGACTGAGGAGGAAGAGATAGGGTCACCTGAAGACTCTTTTGGGAATCCAGGGGAAGGACGTTGCAGCCAGACCAAGAGCAGCAACAGACAGACCACTGGATGATGGAGGTGGCTTAGAGGCACAACTCATGTGGCCAGTGATTCAAACAGTGGTCATGTTGGAGAGAAGAACAGGGTTAAACAGAATTGAGGTAAGGATAGAGGGAGGCTTTACTGGAAGAGTCGAGGTATCATTCATTACCTTGGGAACCAATGAGAAAGGAGAAGGCACTGGATCAATATGTCATAGGGTTTCTATGGGATTATTCTATAATGAAAATCGTTTAATTTAGTCCCTGTAGAGCTTAAGTACAAAAATAATTCTGGACATAAAAAGAAAAAAGTCACCTTTAAGGTAGCAATAACAGATGTTGGACAGTTATTTTACTGTGAGTATGGTCAATGCTCAGATTTGGGATCAATCAGAATTAGAAGACAATGTATTTCATTAAAAAATGCATTAAGATGCTTACATAAAAACCATGAAGATGCTTATATTAAAAACAATATGCTTATAGATAGGAACAGATAGAAAAGCACAGAAATATGGTGAATGCAACATCTGAAGATGGACTAGAATGATAATAACCTAAAGGGGAAACATTTACTTTATTTAGTTCACTAAAAATTATACCAAGTGTATTCTATTCTCCATTGTCCACTGTGACAGTATGATACTTGTCTTTCATTTCAGAAAATATTACTGTATCTTTTCATAGGCTGTTGCAGTAATTTGTGGGAAAAGAAGTATCTGAACTTCTAATATCTAAAATATATTGTGTGTCAGTCTGGTTTATAGATACTTTAGGGTCCACTAACCACTTTCCTTTTTCACTTAGCCATAACTGAATTTTCATTCAAGGCATGTAATACTTGCTATGAGTAAGTTGGTTAAAAAATATATTGAACTAGGAAAAAATGCAGAATATGACTTTTATGGCAACTACTAAATATGTATGATCACCTTCCTTTCCCCCACCCTCAATATTTTCATTCTGTAAGCACATTTGGTGTAAATGCATATACATATGCTTCTGTGTGCCTGTATGTGTTAGGGCAAAACACAGAGTAAAATAATGAGTTCAGAGGAGATAAAAAGAAGAAATTGTGGAATATCTGGAACTTGCTCCAGAAAAATCTCGGAGAACAACCATTAATCTTGGAAATTCTCATCCCTTTCACTAAAGAACAGTGACTCATACACAGTTATGTGGAAATCAATGGGAAAGTTAATTAAAAACTGGATCTCACATTTCTTCCTTCAGCAATTTCTTGATGCTAATAGAAAAAGATTGCCCAGGTGAAATATTCAACCAGAAAGAGGGAGGTCAGTGTTGATTGAAAGACAATGTTCATGGCTAAGATTTATTTTCCCTTTTCAAGTTTCCAATCTGAGCCCATCTTGCCTTTAGTACAGAGAAAAAAGAGACAATTCCTTGTTTGCATTGACCTCATGGGGTTGTTGACACATCTAAGAGTTCAGAGTTTTCAATTCTTAGCCTAAAAGAAGCTGGAGAGAAAGAAATAAGGAGGAAGTGGATCAAAAAACTGGAGGAAGGTCAAATAGTTGTGACCAACATTTTCTGTTTCCTGTTTCAGCAATTCCTGCTTTAATTTAACCCTTTGCCTGACCAAGACACTAAACATGTTTTTTTCATGTCAAGTTTTTACTTTAATTCTAGTTAGTTAAATATACAGTAAAATTTGTTTCAGGCATAAACTTTAGTGATTCATAGCTTACATATAACACCCAGTGCTCATCACAAGTGCCTTCCTTGATGCCCATCATCCATTCAGCCCATCCCGCACCCCCCTCCCCTCTAGGAACCCTCAGTTTGTTCTCTGTAGTTAAGAGTCTCTTATGGTTTGCTTCGCTCTCTCAATCAAGAAGCTCCTGGGATTGTCATTTCAAAGGAGGAATAATGTAAGAGTGACTTCTGGGAGAGATATTTCTAGGAGCTCTCCATGCAGTGTGATTTTTTTTTCAAGAAACATAAAGTCTACCTGTCCCAAAAGATATGGTCCACCAGATTCTCCCCAACATCAGAGTGGCCAATGTGTTTGGTAACAAACTGAAGCATTGTCTAAAAGAGACCCAAGTTACTTGCCTGAGGCATTTATCCACTTGCCTGAGGCATTTATTAGTTGACTCCTTCAGCTTGTAACAAGGAGAAAGGAACAGGTATTCACCTATCAAGGATAGGTGGATCCAGAGGAGTATACAGGGTTAGGACAAACAAGCCATTCCACCTAAAGTAGTGAAGTGCTTGGAGAAGAAGCCTGTCAGGGTGGGGAAGAGGTAATAAAAAGTGAGGCTAAAACTTCAAAGGCACAACCAGGTCTCAGTTTCATTCATGTCTAGTCCTGTATATGAAGCAAAATTTTTGCCAGTTACACTTCTTAAGAAGTGGTTGTGCAGAGAGAAAAAGCAGGATAAAATAGGAACGGTAAATCCACCAGAGTAGAGACATATATGCTGTATTTACAAATAGTACCTCAAAGTCCCATAAGAACTTGGGAAGAGAAATGACCAAGATTAAACCATATTGGCAAATTGACACTTAGAAACCCAGAAACACGTGGGCTGGCTTTGCAGATGAGCAGCCTCAAACTATGTCACAAGTGCACCAGACAGGTTGCTTTCTAAGCTTTGCCTTTGCCACAAGATAACCAATTAGAAAAGTTACTTCATTTTTATGCAGCCCAGTCAGTTAACTGAGACTCCAAAAAGGATCTGTGGGCGTGTATTGTCTGGTTTGCTTATTTATTTCATACACCTTTTCATCCCTTTTCCCCCATCATATCCCATCCCTTTTTCTTCATTCATAGAATGTCCAGATCCCTCGTTTGCCCCAAACAATTCTGCATGAAGCCTGAAATCAGAAAGTTTTAAAGGTTAAGTAGCCCTCTTGCCTTCATAAAATCATCCCAATATGGACAGTAAGTCATAGGATATTTTGCTCATTGGTCCTCAGACTTCATCTTCTTGGCAGCCATAGAGTTCCACTAACAAAGTTGAAATTTCTACTGATGGCAATAAAGAAGTTTCATCCAAATAGAAAACAAGGGACTCTCATCCACCATCAAAGTAATATAGGAATCTGGAAGGAGTCGAATTAACTTTGATATTTCATTTGAACATTATAAGAAAGATTATACATATATATAGATAGATGTACATATAGAAATAGATAAATGGGGGCACCTGGGTGGCTCAATAGTTGAGTGTCTGCCTTTTGCTCAAGTCCCACATCGAGCTCCTCACAGGGAGCCTGCTTCTCCCTTTGCCTATGTCTTTGCCTCTCTCTGTGTCTCTCATGAATAAATTTTTTAAAAATACATAAACGATAGAAAGATGATAGATAATATATATATAATAGATGGATAATAGATAAGAGATTATAGATTGATTACATTGTCTTAGTCTGATCTGGATTATGCTCCTAGTATATATCAAGGCCATGCTATCAGATATTAACAATTGTAATAACAGCTATCATTTAATAAGGATGTGCTAAATCCAGTTGTACAATATTTACTTCACAACAGTTGCTCATAAAATAGTCATAGCAACCTAAAGCAAACATTGTTTTTTTACAGAGTTAAAAACTGAAGTTCAGAGGGGTTAAACAGCTTTCCCAAGGTCACTTAACTATAAAGTGGCAAATGATGTAATATAACCCCAGCCACATCAACACAACCACACTCCATTCCTTCCTAACTCTGAATACTATTGGCCAAACTTGGGCTTCACCCCAAACATACCTGATCTCACAGTATCCCCTCTGCAGCCTTATGAGGCTGGCAGTCTATTATTATTATTATTATTATTATTATTATTATTATTATTTCTATTATTATTACTGCTATTTTAGAAAAGGAAATTGCAAGAAAAAAAAGTAAGTAGCTCCCCAAAGTCAACTGCCTGTTGATTGAAAAACCAAGATTCTAATTTCAGTCTCAGAGTCCAGAGTCTCTTAACCACAGCACTAAATAGAATTATGTATTTAATATTTTTGTTTTATTCGCAATTAAACAAATATTTGTTTTGTATAAAAACAAATCCTTGACTCAATTTTTTAAAGGAGTGTCATAGGGCAATTAGTCATCTTCCATTATAATTTAATAGAATAAATAGAGAGATAGCTATTACTGTTTCCAAAAAACAATATCTAGG